AATAAGGAACAACAAGTTACGATATCATCTAGTTATCAACTTGAAATGAAATGTAAAATCAAACCAGGTGAATACTTGGATGTCACGCCGGATCAGACCGACACTATAGTTACTTTAGGGTTACTAGCCCACGGGGTAACCTCCCTATATGCGCACTAGACTTGTAGAGGGACAATCCCCCGTACTAGAACCATGTCCTAGCCTTAGTCAAACAACGACATCTCCAAGTTTCCAAAATCAACAAGTTGTGCAACAACGTATATATCAACATGTATATACAAGATAATCAACTATCTATTACGCACAACCAAAATTGAAAATACATACAATACATGTTCTAAATCCATAACTACTATGGCATAAAAGATATCAAATACAAAATGTGTAACTCATTACACAAGACAATGATATATTTAATAAGGAAAACATATTCCAATGCTCAAAATTTAACCAAGTGAATATACAACAAGTCCAAGTCCATGATTTAAATATAGAAACAACTTCCAAAACACAATTAAATCCACGGAGCAATTAGATAGAATTTCATTAAATAAAAATAATTAAATTCTCTAGATTCCAAATTAATTCCAAATAATCTCAAATTTATATATGTTGAAGGACATATCATGGTCATCACATATATAACATCAAATAACTAATTAAGTAATTAAATACTTAAAATAAAATAAATTAAGCTAATTAATTAATTTCCTCTAGATTTTTAAACAACTCCAAATGCTCTCAAATTAACATATGTTCGGGAACTCACCAAGGCCTACTTTAATATCACATTACAAGTTTATTTCATACTTGATACAACTATGTGAATTAAACTTTCACAAAAGATAAATATTAAATAAAAGTTGCAATTCTTATTTAAATAATCCCAATTTAATATATATCAACCACTATACCAAGGCCTAAATTTCTAGTATGCTACAATTTCATTTTAAGTTGAATATCATCATAAGAATTAAATCTTACATAAAAAAAATAATTAAATTAAATTCTAGATTATGAACAAAAGCATGCATACAAGTTGTATAAGCATCATTAGCATGAAAGACAACAAAAATATGAAACTATAACACCCCATACCTCCATTTGAAATGAAAATCTCAAATCCCCACCAAAAGAAAAGTGCTCCAAATCCGACGATACTCCTAGGTTATGTCGGGGACAACATGGTGAACATTAAACTCCAAAGAGGACATACCAAAATCCAAACTTGACTTCAAACCCGAACTCAAAAAATGGCCAAAAACGGATTCTAATAAGGAGGAAAGATGCGCGTAGTCAAGACAAGCATAAAACACGAAGGCACTACGAATTTTTAACAAAGGGAAGGAGGTTTAATTGAGAGAAGAAGGGTGGCAGCCCACTTGGGTTGTCATGGCAGCTTTTAGTTGTGCTTGAAGAGAGGGGAAGATCACTTTTTAATTTTATAACCCTATATTTATAGGAAAACCCTAAAAGTGCCCCAAAAAGGCCCCGTCGGGTCTGGAAAAGTGAAATTTGAGCAGACGCGCTCAAACGGCAAAAATCCATGAACAAAATAGAACTAAAATGAGAAAATATGAACAACGAAATAAACGGCATCCAAAACCGAGTCCCGAGCAGAGAGATATGCCCCGAACAAGTTCGGCAGCAATTGGGACCAAAAATCCTGAAACTGGGAAAAAACGACCAAAAGACAATTCTAAGAGTACATGACTCGACGAAAAGTGAAAATGAATCCCATACGAGGATCCAGGCTCAAAACGAAGCATTTTTACAATAACTTTCATTAATTGCACAATGACCCCTCTAAAAAGTGAATACTGCACTAATGACCCAGAATGAAAATATCTTCCAAAAATATTTTCTTAAAAATCCCTGAAATAAAATATCTTTAAAAGATATTTATGAAAAACACCACAAGAAAAGAAAAATATTCTGAAAAACTATCCATCCATGCCTCTATGGACACCGGAAGCAACCAAAGTACTTTACTGCAAAAGTAAAGATACGTATTTCGTGGAAACAACTTAGAATGAAGATATGTGAAGTCAAAAATCAACTCCGAGCACGAAAAGTGAGGTTGTGCCAAAAAGTGACAAACAGGGAAAAGATAAAATAAGGAAAAGGACAAAAAATGAATAGTGTCAAAAAACAACAAATGTGGAAATGACTCGGTCCTTAAAGGAAGTTGTCAATCCAAAAGAAAGAGTCTTAGAAACCATTCTGAGCACTCGAGACAATACTAAGTGATGAAAAACTGAACACAGAATAGAAAAGATAATGAAAAAAATTTATTCGCAAAATTTGAAGAAAAAGGAAAGGAAGAAAATGACCGGGTCATTCCATTCAAGCTATAAAGAACCCTACCCAAGAGCGATGAAGATACTATGAAGAAGGAATCCTATAACTTTCTTCTTGTTTCCCTTTTTCCTTGTTTTCCTCTTGTTTTTCTGTTTCTTTTCCTTTGGTTTGTTTTGTAACAAAAGGAAAGCAACAACATGTGTAAGGTTTTGTAGAGACTTGTGTCTCTTGATTTGTGATATAAGATCAGGTGTTATAAAGACTCATATAGCTTTGACACATAGCTGTCACCAAGTCAGATTTTGGTTTAATTGCAATCTCTTCACAAACAACAAAATAATCACATAAATGCCTCCAAATAAAGTCCATAACTACAATATGTCATACTTTATACCCAATGTCACTAATCATGATTAACTTTCACTAATCATGATTAAGAGTCACTAAACACAATTAAGAGTTAGTAAGCATGTGTTAGAGCCACTAAGCATAATTAAGAATCACTAAACAAGATAAGAAGACCTAATTAAATCTTAGGATATTATATCCTCCTCCCCTTAAGGAAATTTCATCCTCGAAATTAATGCTCAACATCATGCCCATATCCTTTACTTTCCTCAGGCGATGTGAGACAGGGTAACCTACGGCGTTGCAGTAATAGCTATGATACCACTTCTGTCACGACCCAAACCATAGGAAGTGAATAAATTGAGGTTTAAACACAAATCAGCCTACTTTCCATCACACCCTTTCAACATACAACCCACAAAAAAATGTAGTCACAGCTAAAATCCTTTACAAAAAATTATATATACTAGAATCTGGCCTCAATTACATCAAGATTGTCAAATCGCCTCTAGACAATCATTTCAAAAGATACCTAACATACAAAACTAGTCAACCTCTAAATAGAACTAGTCAGCAACTTCCAAATCTCCAATTAATCTTTGGGTATTTGAAAAATGATAGGGTGAGCTAACAGTCCAGTAAGAAAAACCATAGCAAGAGTTTCAAAGAGGTTTAAAGGCACATGGAAGTGAGTTACAAAAAAATATGTAATAATTTGTATCACAAAACATATATATACAAGACATGATTGTTTCTCAGCAAAATGGAACAAAAAACTCAAGAAATGATGAACAACATCAGGATTTGATTATCAATTTGAGTGAAACACGAGTAACAATTAAAATAGATAATTTCATGGCCAAACCAAGGAATTTAGGAAGTAAAACCACTCCAAGCAACTCAAGGTATAGAGAAGCCTACCTAAGAATGATGAAGAAGGAATAGAGAGAACCCTACCTAATATACTATGAAGAAGGAATCCTACAACTTTCTTCCTTGCTCTACCGCTTGCTTTTCTCTTTTTTTTCAGGTGTAAGGTTGTGCAGAGACGTGTGTCTCTTGGGTTGTGATATAAGACCAGGTGTTACGAAGACTCATATATCTTTGACACATGGCTACCACCAAGTCGGATTTTAGTTTAATTGAAACCTCTCCCCTACCAACTAAATAATCACACAAATGCCTCCAAATAAAATCCCATAACTTCAACATATTATACTTATTCACAGTCATGAACAATAAGCTTCACAAACTACACATATGCCTGTGAATATATCAACAATATACATATATGTAATTTTAGTAAAATAATTATTTTCATAGTCAATAAAGAGATTTGAAGCAAAATTACTCGAAGCCATTCAAACTATAAAGAAACCTACCCAAGAGTGATGTTACTATAAAGAAGAAATCCTACAACTTTCGTCATGTTTCCCTTTCTTCCTCTTGTATTTCTCTTTCTTTTTATTTGGTTTATGCTGTAACAAAAGGAAGGCAACAACATATTTAAGGTTGTGCAGAGATGCGTCTCTTGGGTTGTGATATAAGACCAGGTGTTAGAAAGACTCATATAGCTTTGACACATGGCAATTACCAAGTGAAATTTTGATTTAATTGCAACCTATCCCCTACCAACTAAATAATCATCACACAAATGCCTCCAAAAAAAATCCCGTAACTTCAATATAACATACTTTATACCACATGTAACTAATCATGATTAAGAGTCACTAAGCACAATTAAGAGCCACTAAGCACATTTAAGAAACACTAAGCACGATTACGAATCACTAAACATGATTAGAAGGCCTAATTAAATCTTAAGATATCACATTTTTTAAAATATGATTACAAGGCCTAATTAAATCTTAAGATATCACATTTTTTAAACCCAACCGTGTCCCTAAACAATGCCTTTAACGGCCTTTGTTTTTTCTACCGCAGAGGATCCAAACCCCTCCCTCTTGAGTCTATTCTAAGCTCGGGCACATCCGCTTTCTGTCGTACATATCAGTTGACCATTACAGGCAGACAGTTCTACAAAGTGTTCAAAGAGTTAAAGAGGAGCACTTCGTACAGTGGTCATGATGACGATTGTTATATGGTTATATGTGGGGGTACTACAACAGCATTGAGTCATGTATACACAATTGTTTCGCAGAATTCCAAATATCATGAAATATAGAGTAGCACTGTAGAAAAAAGCTGAAACACGATAGTAAAAGTTCTTTAAAACAAAAGAATATGACTATTTTTCTTTGGTAGCCGACAGTTGCACCATGTCAAGCATCCAAACTTACATCAAACACTAATTGAACAAATGACAAACCAAAGCACTGTAACTTGCTGTATACAAAACCAATCGTACCTTTATTGTCTTGACATAAATCATGAATACTGTAAAATAAAAATAAAAAGTCAAACAAATAACTGTAAGGTGTCTAGAAATAGAACATTGCTGCAGCTTCTGCAGGCCTATTTGGAATTGTATCGTTACAATTAATCTCAAGTAAAATGGGTATAGAAAATAGAATTACAACACATAATGTTACAAATAAAAGTGAATGACCAAGTGAGCTCTATTATATTGATATTGACCCACTCTGATATTCCATAACAGCATTAACAGGGGCTTGTGTTTTCAGAATCATTTCTTTGTACTCATCTTCAGGATTCGAAAGAGCTACAATAGCACCTCCTGCCCCAATGGAAGCTTCGCCTTCATGTATAACAATGGTTCTGATCACAATATTAAGATCAAATGTTTGGTTATATGAGAAAAATCCAATGCAGCCAGAGTAGATGCCTCTCGGACAACTTTCAAGAGAATCAAGAAGTTCCATTGATCTCATCTTTGGTGCACCTGTCATCGATCCACCTGGGAATGCTGCTCTGACACAATCAACAGCACTTAAACTTGATCTCTTTTTACCACGGATTGTGCTCACCATGGTGTGAACAGTTGCATATGATTCTATTTCCATGAGATGGGGCACGTGGACAGACCCAGGCTCACAGACACGACCAAGATCGTTCCTTAGAAGGTCAACAATCATCAAATTTTCAGCCTGATCCTTTTCACTGTTGTGAGAGAGAGACTTTCTAGTTATACAATTAAGGAGCACTACAGATGATAACATCATTGACTGAATACAAGGATTGTTTCTAAAGAATAAAGAGTCTCGCAAGTGGAATAAATAGAATTACGGTACACATATTCACCAGAAGTAGAAAACCAAAAGCAAAGTAAAAAAAAGTTACCATCAATAAGACTTTAAGGATGACACCAAATAAAAAGACTATCATACCATCTATACCAGGCTACTGTTTGAATACATAAAAGTTATGGGGTTCTTAGATAGATATTTAATCAAAGTCGGCATTCAGCAAATAATAGTTTTAGGTCAAACTTTTTAAGGGAAACGAAACCAGTTATTGTTGTTGATAAAAACAACAGATTTATGTTACCAACCTGTATTGTTGATAAAACGAAACCTTTTTCTTTCAGTAAAGTTACTAACCTGTATTGTAACTGCAATTTGAGCAGCTCATCTTCCTCTGGCGTAGAACCACGAGCGACGGTGCCCTTGATGGGTTTTGCTTCCAAAATACCATTTCTATCCAATCGTAGGAATCTCTCAGGTGAAGAGCAACAGATGCACAGGTCTTCCTTTGAAAAATTAAGCCAGGCAGCATATGGTGCCGGATTCTTTTCTCTAAGGTTAAGGTAGAGTCCCAGAGTATCCATCTCCCCAATTCTCCTTCTCAATTGAGTTGTAAGACACAACTCATAGCTTTCTCCATCTTTGATGAACTTCTGGCACGTCTCAACGTCATTCATGTACTGGTCTCTAGATTTCTCAACTAGAAAGCCTGCTTTAGACGGGACATCTACAGCAGGCTGTGATGTACGAGGAATTGAAGTTTTTGTGGCAGAAGCATTTAATCGGAGAAGCTTCTGCTCTACATCATCCAGCCATTCTGTCCCAGTGGTGCTTTGATCATGCACCGACATAATATAAACATCATTAAATTGATGATCTATCACAACAAAATTATCTGAAAAGAAAAAAGAAGCATCCGGTGTCCTTGATTTGTGACGATTATCTGCCACACCACATTCAACTTTAAGGCCATACCTACATGACAGAAACACCAACATTAGACTACTATAAAATTTCAGTTTTGTTAGGAAAAAAGTGTGTTGAGGGGAGGGGGAGAGAGAGAGACTTCCTACTACTACCAATCCTACTGTGACCACTACTCACCCTACTTATTGAAAACATCAGTTTATTACACTAGTAGTTTAAACTAAAAAGAAAAAGCTTAATTTTCTGTAAATATTTAAAACCCATTATCATGCTTCCAAAATGTTTACTAAAAGAGGTGTGCATGGTGGTGTCTCGCACCCCTCATGGATTCCAAAATGTCTAGGCATGCCTTATAAGGATCAAAGTTTGGTGTGAAATGAACCCCCCAAACTCTTACTCCCCTTCTCTCCAAAATAATAATAATAAACAACAATAAATAAATAAAAAATAAGAATAAATACATAAATTTAAATCAGCCATGCTACCTCGAAAGGGAACTGAATATAATAATAATTATTATTATTATTTGAACGAAGATGAATTCATAATATGAAAGTATTTTTTTAATGGAAAAGATCCAAACAGATAATCAATGAATTAAAACCCAACAGTGATGAAGATATTAAAACTTAAAACATAAGGTGGAAGATCTATGAAGGTCAACGTAACTATGGGTGGCAAGTCGTGTTCGCGGGACGTGTTTGTGTCGTGTCAGGACATGGGTATCCTGTTATACGGGTCAACATGTACACGAAGAAACCTTGACAAGAATACGACATGATTATTATTATGTGGGTAACAAGATGCGACCCGCGTAACCCATTTAATAAATGGGTCAAGACTTGACACGACACTAAATGACAAGACACGTTTAAGTCATTTTAGACACGAACACAACATGTTTAGCAAAACAGTCATTTTTAACGGCAACACGCGTCCATGGAGTTCATGGTCCTCACATGAATAGACTTCTCCTCACCCGATAAACTTTGGACTCCACAAGAATTTGTCGATACGTTTAATTAAATGGGTAAATCAGGCTATAAATGGGTTCGTGGGTCAAACACGAACACGACACGTTTAATTACCATGTCAATTTGGGTCGATGCGATTACGACCCAAACACGATTATGCCAAACCCAAACCCACTTATCCCTTGTCGTGTTCGAGTTGTGTTAGCGTGTCGTGTCGTGTCAAGTATTGCCACCCTTAAATGTAACCAAACCAGTCCAATAAAATCCCAATTTAATTTAATCAAGTCTGTTTTGGCTGAGATGCACTGTTCAAAATAGAAAACATAATGTACGTTACTTCCATATAACATGCACTATATGGCCAATTTTTAGCCATTGTCGCATTTTTGTACCAAAAATTGTCATTTAACTATTTAATTATCAAAATCCAGGGCATATTGGTTAGCTTTTCACGCTATAAACCAATGAAATAACATTTTATCCTACTTCAGTCATTTGAATCACCTAAATACCCTCATTTTAACTAAAATAAAGGAAAAAATGCCTTTAATTCTTCTCTACATTTTTTTTTCCCCCTTTCGGCCCACCTCATTCATTTCTCCTTCCCTACTTCATTTCAAAAGCCCTAATATTTTTTTTTTGATAAGTAAAGATGTATTATAAGCCCTAATATTTATAAGTGTATATCATTGTTTCCCCAAACATATATGTATATGATACATACTTGTGTAAAATATATATACACACACATATACGGTGTTTTTAGTTTGATAAAGAAGAGAAAACTGAGAGTTTTAAAGAGAGTTAAATTTTGCAGAAAGATAAAGTGTTGAGAGAAAGGGAGTCTGTTTCTCATCCTAATATATATACATATATATATATATCTATATATATATATATAGAAACATATATACATACATACAAAGGTATATAGAGGTATAGCCATTCTTAAAGGATCATAATGGAACTTGAATTGTTGGTCCCATAACTGCTTCTGGGCTTCCCCTTAGCCAATTTACACAAGTTCTCCATTTTCCATCATTCAAACTTTGTTGTCACCCAACACAGCTCACTCGGCATCTTGTTTTTGTTTTCCATCACTCATGCACTCTCTTTCTCTCTCCCCCCCCCCCCCCCCCCCCCCCCCCCCAATTAGTTTTTATGAAAAAATATTAATATAAGTTACAGGTAAGAAGTCATTTTACACATTATGTTAACTGTGTCTAACCATGTTAACTAACAGGGCAGGTCAGTGTTATTTTCGACACAAGATGAGAGGTCACTGTAATTATGGCAAGCCTCATGGGAGGTCAGTGTAATTTTCCCTTTATGCTTTTGTATTTGTGTTTGTTGAGTTGATATAAAGTTGGCAAGACATGCCCAACTTACCTAATTTGATATACTAAATGATCATTGACGGTGCAAAACAGATATGTTGAAGAGACCAATAATGATGCCAATTAGGTGGGATTGAGAAAGAAAATAAGAGAGCTAATGCAGCAGCATGTTAGCTTCTCTGTTGGAACTGGGAAGATCTTCAAAACTCTGACTGATCCTTGGTGTGATGGACAAACAATGGCTCAAAAATTTGGCCATACAATGGTTAGAAGATTAGGGTTGCCTTGGGACTCAACTCTCAATAGTCTTAAGACTAATGGGAGTTGGAATGTGTGGCTGGTGCATGAAGAAATATTCAACCCTCTCAAACCATATGTTTCTGCTATACCACGGCATGCTAGAGAAGACAGGTTCTTATGGGATGGGGATACCTTTTCTTTCAAGAAGGCTTGGTTTAGTTGCAGAGGGCCTGTTGAAGAAGTGGAATGGCATAGTGTGTGCTGGGGAAAGGCTAGACCTAGGTGGTCTATGCATGGGGGTTTTGTATTTCAAGATAGACTTCCCACTATGGTTAATCTGCAGAAGAGAAACAATCAGCGGGCTGCTAGATGTACTGTCATACTGAGTGTGATTCTAGGGATCATATATTTGTCACTTGTCAATTTGCTATGGAAATGTGGTGCTGGTTGGGAGATGTTTTGGGATGGGAAGTGAACCAGTTGTCTAATATTCTGCATTTTATGGATCTTGTGGTGTGGTTCAAACAGCAATCTAACAAGCTTCTCAAGTGTCTTTTAGTGGCTGCATTGTGGGGTATATGGCAGGAGAGAAATGGTAGGCTTCAATGCTCAGCTTCAAGATCTCCTCAGGAGATGGCTAGACAGATTTGTTTGAAGTAATTGATGTTACTAATGTCTCACTTCAAGATTTGTTACACAGGGTTCTTGTTTTGGGTGTTCTTTTTGTATTGGAAATGGGCTCATTCCCTATAGGCTTTTTTGTAATGGCTACATGGTTGATTCTATTATGAGGGTATGCCCTCTGTGCACCTGTACTCAATTTTTCCATCTATACATCACCAATTATGAAAAGAAAAAGAAAAGAGTTGTTTTCTGAGAAATTGTTTTCACTAACAAGAACAACAAAAAGTTGGAGCTCTCCCAAAGACCCCATAGAATCATAAACAAAATCAAAATTTATAAAATAAATTGTTGAACTTTCTATACGATTAAAATTTTCCATACCCTATGTAACCAATATATCCACCATAAAAATCAAATGGCAGCCCTTCATAATCTTTTTCGTCGTAACAAAATGACTGGAGCTCCTGACATAAAAAATTAAAATAAGAAATATATTAAATCTGAACCATGTAAACTAATTTGGAGTAGCAGATGTACGTTTCCCTTCAGAATGAACATATAACCGTAACAAAAAACGAGGCAGAGATAGTAATCATACAATAACAGGTGTGCATTTGTACATATTTATTAATTGAACATGCAAAAGAACATAGAAAATAACAATGCGGTTGTCTAGGCCAATGAAAACTATAAAATAATAATAATAATAATAATAATAATACAAGAACTATTGCAAATCATGTACTACACGTTCAACTTCTGAAATTGTACAAGCTATCCAATATAGTGAATAAATTGCCATTCGTCCGTCCGTATGCAAATCAATCAAGAGATTTACCACAAATAACAACGCAATAGACATGTCTTGTGGTACATAAGGTTGGGCAATCAGAATACATTACTTGAATGCACTGGTTCACTTTCATAACAGATGATAGATAGTTAATCTTGTCATGAAAAATAGAAAAGGTGGCAAAAGTAAAGGCTTTTGTGCATTTTTGTAGAAGTTTGCATAAATTAGAACCTTTTTTTTTTTTTTTTTTTTTTTTTAAATAATTAGTAAAGTTTCATTAAAGGCACTCAAGAGGGGAATGCTCACAAAAGAATACACAGACAGCTGAAGTGGCTGGCTATAATTTCAAGCTAACAACAAAATCCACAAGATCCCCCACAGATTTACAATTCTGCTCATTAACCCAAAAGAACAAAGAACATATAGGGTATTTGAGAGACCAAATAGGATCCTCCTCCCCCACAAAGGATCTCCTAGTTCTCTCGTGCCACGAGCCCCACCATAAACAAAGGGAGTGAGTCTCTCCAAGCATTCTCTGGCTCAGCTATCCACTGTACACCCTCTCCAAGCCTCGATCATGCCCACTGTAAAACTGCGGGATACCCAAAACATCCCAAACACAGTTAAAAAAATCGCCCAACCATCACTCGCCACTGCAATGAAGGAGGTGATCCACCAACTCCTCCGCCCTCTTGCACATGCAACACCAGTTCACCACAATCTGGCTCCTCCTTTTGAGATTGTCTATGGTGAGAATCCTCCCGAGGGCAGCTAATCAAGTAAAGAGAGCAACCTTAAAAAGGAGATTTCGTCAGTTCGTCCTCCGAATAGCCTTCCAGGGGAAGGTGGGCCCCGGATTCTCCAACAGACTCTGATAGAAGGATCGGACTCCAAAAACCCTTCTCGAAGAGCCCGTCCAAACCATCTCATCCATCCCCTCCCCCTCCATCGCCTGGCTGTATAACAATGCTAAGCACTCAGCTACCTCCGCAAGCTCCCAATCATGGAACTCTCCCCGCAACTGAACATCCCAGGTCAGACTCCCGTTATCAAGATTGCATGAACTAAAACTGAAAGAGGGGAGGGAAAATGCTATTGGGAAGATACAGAAAAAGTAGCTTGATGGATAATATGTGTACTTGACCTCTTGATCAGTGGTCACTAAGTGGATTACTGAGTCTTTCAGTTAAAATTAGACTCGCATCAATAGAAATGATACCTCGGAATTCTACCAATCAGCATTTACTTAGAATTTGGAATCTTCAAGTTCTAACATTTCAGTTATTTATTTATTTATTATAAGTGTAAGAGTTCAGTGTTTTAGATTTGTTGATTCTGCTATTATTTTCTGCTTTAGTTACATGCAGTTCTAGCTGATTGATTAACAGTCTGTTAAAAATGGATTCAGGCTAAGGTATCCTTACTGCTGGGAGATTTCAGTTGAGCTTTGATCATTTTCTGCTGTTGGGGATTAGATATCCTGGATTAGTTTTGTGGTTTTCTGCAGCTGGGCTGGTAAAATGTAGAGAGGTTGATTGCTGCCTTTCTTCAGGCATTGTTAATGGAATTCGCGGGGGGCAGAAGGGGTGGTGCCGCCAATGGTAGAAGCTTTTCCTATAAAAAAACTGAAGACCACACAAGAATTAAGGTACTGCAACCTGAAATAAGACCTGATGTCTATGACATAATTGTGACATGGCCCAGAAAGAATGGGAATACGTTAGATTATTAGAATAAGGTTGTAGATAAAATTAAGATATGGAATATCGCCTCAACAAAACACATTACACATGCCACTTTCAGTCGTCATTTTTTGCCTGATTTTCAGAACAAACTGTGAGGAAAAGCATATAAAACTACAGCACATACATTTATCTTTCTTACTTTTTATGAAGCAGTGTGAAATAAGATAAAACTTTTGCTGAAGTATGAGAAAAACAAGGTATCTAATTATCAAAACAAATTTCATTTGATTACCTTGCTCAAAAAATCAAAAAACCCATCTTCCAAACATGTGCTTCTGGTAGTGCCCTGAGCATCTTCAATTAATAGATAACCCCCACCTTTAAATGTCACATCACTGGAAGGAAAGCCTGATTATTTTTATGAAATAGTAGAATAATATTCATGACAATAGGGTGAAAATAAAAAACTTCAAGCTGGTTTATTATCAAACAATCTATAGGTAGTTGTATTTGATTTGTGCTCAAACCTTTCATCTGACAATCTAAACGTGACTTGCTTCCAAAGGGATCCACCTTTACCTCCCATAAATGAAAAGCGTGCCCTTCTCTATAACAAATAAGAGGGTTGTTATGTAGGTGAGTTCCAGAGAATAAAAATTAATAATGCAAAAATGAGCTTTAAAAAAACAATACTAAGAAGAGAAGTCAAATTACAAATATAATGTTTTCTAACATAGTAAGTTATCCATCTTAATTATATTGTGATACTATATATATATATATATAGAGAGAGAGAGAGAAATTATAAACAGAGGAAAATTAATCACACAGCAACACTAGTAGTAACTACTCAAAAGATACTAAATGTCCAAGAGGCAAAGAGATGCATTCAGAGAAGATTGATGAAATATATATATATATATATACAGTAGTGTTCAACTGCTCCCCGGTGAGCAACAAAAAGTATACTCACTTTCAACTATAGTCATAGGATCTAATCCTACGGCTAATATAATCCTTGCACTGTTTTAGGGAAGTGATATTATTTGAATTAGTAATTAATTACAATTGAAGTAAATGACTATAATAGACATTTCCATAAAAAGAAAAAGAAAAAAATCAGTTTTGTTTGACATAGCCTTTTAAGATTTGGTTGATTAACCGTGAATATATCTCTTCCATCGAAATCATATATGAAAACTTTTTTTAAAAAAGATAAAAATTAAGGAAGAGTATAATAAGAAAAAGTCTCCTTTTTTTTTTTTTTTTTTTTTTTTTTTTTTTGCTAATCTTATTTGCTACCTAATTAGCACCACACGAAAACCTTTTTTTGAAAGAAAAAAAGTTTAAGGAAGAGTATAACAAGAAAAAAAAAAAAAAAAAAAAAATTTCCTACCTAATTAGCATCACATGAAATATTTTTTTTGAAAAAAAAAAAAAAATTAAGTAAGACTATAAGATTTTTTTTTTTTATTGGTAGGGAAAAATAAGATTAGCAAAACAAATAATAAATAAATAAAAATTTTCTTGTTATATTCTTCCTTAACTTTTTATCTTTCAAAAAAAAAAATTTCATATATGATTTCGATGAAAATGATATTCTTCCATTCACGGTTAATCAACCAAATCTTAAAAAGTTGAATCAAACAAAATTGATTTATTTCCTCTTATGAACCTGACTACTATTGTCATTTTACCTCATTGTAATTAATTACTAATTCAAATAATATCAATCTTATAAAATAGTGCAAGAATTATATTAACCGTAGGATTAGATGAAAGTGAGTATATTTTTTCCTACTCACAGGGGAGCAGTTGAACACTACTGTGTATATATATATATATATATATATATGTATTTTTGATAAGTATTATAGATAGCACTCCCCTTCTGAGTGCAACCCAGGAACTACACAAGGACCAAATAGGGACCTTAGACACTCACATTATCCACAAAGTCCAAGATTGATGAAAAATGACATTCCATATCCCTAATTCATCAACATTCCACAAAAAAAGTTTCTAAGCTTTGTTTATATGTTTGATTTCTAAGATAAAAAATATCTTTCTACTATAGCTTTACAAAAAAAATGAATTCATGCATCTTAACGTCCTCATTTCTGCTACCTGAATTTGTTGTTCTTGCTTCCTTTTTAACGCCCAACACTCTGTGCCATACAATTAATCAAAGTGCTAGGAGTAGGGAACTACAACGCTGTATTGAAGGGCCTAAGAAGTTGCAATAATGAATGTCAATAATCTTTCTAAGCTACCTTAGCGTCCTCATTTCTGCTACCTGAATTTGTTGTTCTTGCTTCCTTTTTAACGCCCAACACTCTGTGCCATGCAATTAATCAAAGAGCTAGGAGTAAGGAACTACAACGCTGTATTGAAGGGCCTAAGAAGTTGCAATAATGAGTGTCAATGAGTGTGAATAATTTTCCTTTCCCAGTTGGAAAATATATACGTAGACACATTATCCACAAAGTCCAAGATTGATGAAAAATGACATTCCATTTCCTCAATTCATCGACATTCCACAAAAAAAAAAAAAAAAAATAAAGTTTCTAAGCTTTGTTTATATGTTTGATTTCTAAGATAAAAAATATCTTTCTACTATATCTTTACAAAAAAATGAATTCATGCATCTTAACGTCCTCATTTCTGCTACCTGAATTTGTTGTTCTTGCTTCCTTTTTAACGCCCAACACTCTGTGCCATACAATTAATCAAAGAGCTACGAGTAGGGAACTACAACGCTGTATTGAAGGGCCTAAGAAGTTGCAATAATTAGTGTCAATAATCTTTTCAATTACATCCATCCTTTGGTTCACATAATTGATTTTTTTTTTTTCCCTTCCCAATTCAATTTTTTACTGATTCACTGCAATCTGCAAAATCCACAAAACCTTAGAACCTTGACAATTGGAAAATATAAACCTTAGAACCTTGACAATTGGAAAACATATACGTAGTATATTTTTGGGTTTGTTTGAGGGGGGTGGTAGGGTGTTATGGGGAGATTAAACATTGAACCACATGTTTTACGAACAACTTGAAATGCCGCATGCCCAAGTTATAATATCATCTTTAATGAACAACTTAACAGTTTCCCCACGTATTATATCACCTTAAACCATTTCCTGGTATATCATGGTGTCATTCTTTTGTAAACTATCAGACCATTACTTACATATGCATAAATTGGACTAACTAAAATCTATTAGTCGGATAAACTCTTGGAAGTAAGGCAAGCAGAGCGAAATCTTGTCATAGTAAGTTCTGACAACTCCTGATTTTGTTTAACTTGCTCATCAAAAAATGCACTGAGAAATCGTGGAAATTAAATAAAGCAATTTCCTTGTTTCTCTGCAATGGGCTGCACAGAGAACCAAATTAAGACTTGCTACTTCCATTACAATCTCATAAAACAACATAGGTCCATAGGTCCACAACTGAGCCACTTAAACAAAATTCTGCTCCTCAATTCTTTAAAATACGAGTCAAACAACTCAATAGATTCGGAGCACTCTTGAAAATCTTCAAGGCACCCACAAGATCAAGACAAACAGCCTCAGTTGAACTGCAACAAGTAAGTTTACAATTGTTTGCCCCACCTTCCATTATTCCTAGTTTCCAAATACATGTGACCAATTCTTTCTCCATTCCTTTCTACATCTATGAGAGTTGAATTTAAATTTCAACAAAATGACTCTAATTTCATGATAAAAAAGGAGCTTCAATCCCTTGGCTGCTCAGCAGAAATTCTCTCTTTTTTATGAAATATAAATCAGCAGTTTTCAGCATAACAACATAGATGGATTTTTTTCCTTCATTGTCATCACCGCCAGGTCCGCTACCAACATTCTTTTTTTCACCTTTTTTTGGAATCTAACAAAAAAATCCAAACTCCAATTGAACTCTTGAGATATGTCGATAAGACCTTTCTTGGGACAGATTGACTGCTACTTCATCATAATAATACCAACACACTTAGCTGATTCTCTTTTCCTTGATAAGTAGTGCGCCAGTTAATGTGAGTACCATATTTCACTTTAACTGAATATCATACCTTCCGAATCATCAGTACACGTACAGTGATCTCACAGAGGATCAGCCCCTTTATGCTTTTTACCCTTTTCAATAATAAACAAGCCCCACAATTCAAAAACTTAATATAATCTGAACCCAAAAATAGGTTCAAACATCTTACAAAAAAGATAGAACTATTCCTCAATTTAGCAATAAGCGTAATGAAGGTTCGTGTTTGAGAGCAACGAATTTGTGTAGGATAATAACAAATGTTACAAATGTCTTTAGTTTAGCAACACACTGCATGAAAAAAAAAATAATAAATAAATAAAGGATCTATCGATTCATATAAAAAGTATCACTTTAAATTTTTTATATTAAGAAAGAGCCTTAAAACACTCGCTCACACAAAAGAAAGCAAAAGTGCAAGCCCCTAACATAGTAGTTTAAACTCAACTCCTTAACGGTCATATACTATTATTATTTTCAAGAAAAGACAAATAATAATAATAATAAAAAATTAAAATTAAAATCTCAAAGTAGAGAGACTGATGAGCTTTTTTATTTCAGTTAAATGGAAGACAACTGGACTATAATCCTGCATCTAACAGGATATGGTGCATGTTGTATTACAAGCAGTTAATATACAACTTCCTCTCAGTATGCATCCCAACGCATCTTAATTTGGGTATAAGTTGTATCTCAGTGTGTTCAAAGCAACTACAGCAAATTCATGTTGCAGCAACCACTAATTGCAAAGTTTCCAGAATCTATTATAATTCTATAAATCCCAATCTTCCCACTAATTTTATGATCTGAAAACCAATCACATCTATATGGCAAAAACACAATTATATAGAAGAGTGTAGACATTAATAGTATATGAGTTGATTCATATGATCAACTGTAAAAAGAAAGAGGAAGAAGATATAAAGGTAAAGAAGATGCAACTCTTAAAAATTTTGCATCAAAACTGTAACAAACTACAAAAACTATCGATATTTTGTTTACCTATTTTCTACTGAAACTAGGGCAGAGTTTCACGTGAATTCTCTCTTCGTCTTTTTCCATTCTATTCTAGTACAAAAAATGTCTACACGTAAATTAAAACTTTGGAAATCAATTCTAATTACTTCATCCCAAGTTGGTTTTGATCGGCCGGTGTCTTTTACCTTCTACATAATTAATCTTCCTTTTTTTAGTAGTGCATTCACTGGACTACGTTGTATGTGTCCATACCACCTAAGCCTACTTTCTCTATTTTATCACTACTATAGATGTCACTCCTAGTCTCCTTCACATTTTGATTCTCAATTTTATCTTTTATAGCGGTTTCTATTATCCATCTCAACGTTCTCATTTGAGCTATGGATGTCTTGTTCTGGTTTCTTTTTTAACACCCAACACTTCGCTTGTATGAAATAGCTACCTAATAACCGTCCCTATAGAGTTTTCCTTTCAACTTATTTGGTATTTTCATATCACATAGAATACCACTAGCATGTCTCCAATTTGTCCATCCTGCTAGTAACACCATTGTCTATCTCCCTATCATTTTGTGTTACTAATCTTAAATATCAGTTTAGTGGCCACCAGAAGTCAAATTTTTTTTCCAACTTTAACATTCAAACCCAAAATTTAAATAAAGCTGCTTAAAACTTGTGCAATCTAAAAGTTCACAACAATCTGCACGTCATTTCATGTATGTATGCAACAAATAGTTTTGCTCTTGAATCCATCTTAGAGGTTCCCATTTAACTATTTTAATGTTCTGACTTCTAACCATCCCATCATGTAACTAAACTCTACGGAAACAAGTAGAAAATCTAGTCAATAAACCTTTGAACAGATTTGGTTCGTGTGCAAGTTTTTGAAAATTTTCTCCTTCAATAAAGAAAATTCCTGAAGACGTATAGAACAGAGCATGAGAAACCTAAATCCAAACTTTCATTAAATAGTAAGAAATTAGGAAATAAGAATACATAAAAGGACATGTTTGAGCAAGAAATGCACCTTTTCTATTGAGGAACTGTCCAACCAAAAGGTGTTCTCAGGCTTACGGTCTCCAAACAGTTTACAGAATATATTTCTTGCCCCACCAACTTGACTAGCCAAGCGTTCTAGTTTCCTCCATTTCAAATTCAGAAATTTGACACAATTTTTCTGACGTGATAGATCTAGCATATCACACATGCTGAAGTGACTCCTATCATTCAAACCATTCACTAACTGCCTACCTCCTGGAAAATCTCTGAACAGCCGACGTCTATGAGGCACCTGTGTGGATGCTAAGTAAAGTTTACTGCCCAAGGTAAATAAGAGGCTCTACACATAAAAATGCTTAGTAAACGTGGAAGATGCACATGGAGTAAACATAAAGCACTGCCCATATATACCATGCAATTCTAGCAAGGACCACTAAAGGTTGGAGAGATGTTAAACAATTTAAAGCAGCTCATCAATCAATACCTTAAACATAGTAGATCTACGGGATGTTAGGACCCAAAGAAAAGAAGGCAGTCATGACAGTTTCCGATAGAGAACCACCTCAATTTATTGACATATTTTGCAAATGATATACCCAACAGTTGCCAAAATCCATCATACAAACTAGCATACAGGAATTTTTTAAGCCCCATTTCAGGGTACTTATTGAGCCAAAAGAAACCAACATATTACACTAATAGTAATAAGAGTAAGAATATAAATTTCTTCAAGAAGTTTACCACAACAATGAACCTTTCTCTCACTATTGGAGGATGATCTCAAATTGAGCCAATAATCCTCAGTGATATCTCTAAAGTTACTGAATATTTTCCTCCCATGACAGGTCCCAACACTCTCCGGATGAAACTGAAGTCAAAAAGAAAATTTTAGTGTAACATACCAAAAGAGTGGGTACAATAAACACAATAACCAGAAAATCTACCTGTAAACCATAATGAGGCCTTGTAGAGTGCCTGATGCCCATGAGAACCTTTCCAGTCAGCATACCTTTAGAGTCGATGGAACAACATGAACCTCCGTTTCTGAACTTCCTTGAGGAAGAATCAACAGAGATTTGTTGGCAAAGCTGATTCTCATAGGCATCAGGGACAACATCAGACTTTTGGGAGTCAAGGAGGGAAAGTGTATCAGCAGAAGAGGTCCATGCTATGGGTATGAGTTCCTTCGGAAGAGTTTCCGCATCTATTACGAGGGAATGGTATCGAACCACCTGTATTAAGTCATAACCCACAGGAGTTTAGGTTGATGCACATATTAATAGGGGCACAACAAGAGTACAGGGATCTCCAGTATTCTATAAATATAACTTAAGACTTTCATTAAAGATTAATTCTGGCAACATGGAAACCTCACAAGGTAGTGAGTTTTCTTGCTATACCAAAATTTTCATGCAATCCTAAACATGCCAGTACCAACAGATTATTTAGAAATCTGTTTGCAAGTTAGCTTCATTCGTTTCATCCTAAAATACACTACACTTTAAAGATGTGCTAGATGCAAGAAGTTTTTTACAATGCCCTATTGCTTCAGTGAACCATTTTGTGCTTAAGTGAACCCCAGAAATGACTCAAAACATGATGAAATTCTATCTTCTTCTGGGCACATGTAACATTGAGCAGAAGAATGACAAATCAGCAAAACTTCAGCCATGCCAAGAGACATTTTTGTCCGCAAGCCAAGGAACAAAAATAATAAACAAAAAAATCACAAGTACAGTTCTAAACAGCAGAGAATATTTTTTTATTCATTATTATTATTATTATTGAAAGCAGAAAAAGAAAAAAAAATAATAAAACATTAAATAATAATAATAAACCTAGTGCCTGGCAATCACAAGAGATGTGAATGCTGCACATTGCTGTCAGGTAATCAACACTTTTTGCTGCTTGCAATGCTCCTGTCCTAATAGTACCACTGTCATTTGCCTGATTGTGTTTCTCTATTATAAAATTTACTGCTTATTTTTTCCTGTTGTGCAAGGGAGATGGTAAGGTTCGAACGAATCACCAGCGATTTCCAAAGGGGGCTTTGATACCACCTGGGCACACTGCTGTGGGTACGTAGTTCACTGCATTTGGTATGGACTTTGACATTACACAGTCCACAATTTCCAACAACCCTTAGAAAAACTTTTATGGCAGAGAAAACAAATGAAAATGAAAAGAAAGAAGCTGTTTTAGACATGTGACTGAAGGTTAGTGTAAAGCAGTTTACAATACCATTTTATAAATTACCCAAACAAACAGTTAAGTATATCTGATTTTTCGTGGCCCCTTTGACACCAAAATAAACTCTTCACGTTGATGTCAACACTAGCAGAACTTTCAATATTTTTTATCAATTTCTTTCGAATGAATGTGATCAGGAATCAGGATAAAGTTGATATATTCAGTGGTACTCCTGCAGTAGCAGCATAACTTATCTAATGCTGCATTTGGTGTCCAGGAATGGAATGGAATGGAATGCCTATTCCAACCATTCCTTTGTTGGGTATGCAATTTAAAGTGGGAATAGCCGTTCCATTGGAATGAAAATCCATTCCACAACTAAACCTATTGAATAGCCATTCCATTCCCAAGTAATTTTTTTAAAAAAAATCAACTTCCCAAAAAACCCTCACGTCCCAAGTCCAAAAACCACCACAACCACGTCTGCCTTTCACCACCAACTTCCACCACTACCACCACCACCACCGCTACCGATTTTCACCACCGTCCACCGCTTTCCACCACCACCACCGCCTTTCACCACCGACGTCGCATTCCTTTGTGCAACCACCACCGCCACTGCCATCACCTTTCACCACTACCGCCTTACACTACCGCTACCTTCCACCACCACCGCTATCGCCTTCCACCGCCTTTCACCACCGCTATCGCCTTCCACCGCCTTTCACCACTGTTATTGCCTTCCATCACCACCACCACCACCACCGCCTTTCACCACCGCCACCGCCACTGCCTTCCGCCACCGTCACCGCCTTCTACCACCACCGCCATCAACTTTCACCAACACCATCGCCACTGCCTTTCACCACCACCACCGCCACTGCCTTTCACCACCACCACCACAACCGCCTTCCACCACCACCATTGCCTTTTGAGCCCGATACTGCCTGAAAGCAAATCAACACAGACCTCAAAAATCTCAGGGACACCTCCACCTCACAAAAAACTAAAGTATCATCCACAACCAGTAAGTGAGAAATCTCCAAATGATGAACATCATCCCTGCCCACCCTGAATCCCGATGAAGCCCAACTCCACAGCCCTCCCCATCAACCTACTATGAGCCTCCATAACAATAATGAACAACAATTGGGAAAGGGGATCCCCCTGACGCAAACCTCGCAAGCTACTAAAGAAACCCGTCAGAGACCCATTACTTCTTTAGAAACATGTAATGAGAATGTTTTCAAAACAATGTAATTGAGGCCAAAGAGCCATTTTATTTTGAAGTATGTTTTTCATGTAAATTGCACACTTTTGTATGTCGCACTTACTTACACTAGTTGTATCTACATTGCCATGCCATGTTCGATTCTTAGGGATGCTTAGACTCGGATTTGAGGCCTTAAGGCCACTTCATTTTAAATGTATGACATATACATTAAATGAACACATAATGTATGCCCCACACACAATCTTTTACTCACGTATGTCCTTGCCATGCGTAGACATCTTAGTTGAACTTTATTCATCATGTTTGAGCATGGGGCATGGTCGGGAAGGTTGGATCCAATCATTTTTCTTCAATTTTCTACAGCAGAATTATTTCCTGCTCCCAGGTGAATTCAGCCGACTGGGTTTGGTTTTGTCCTCTAATCTCTTTATATTCGCTTCTTAGTTGACCATTGGCACAATGGAACTCCATTGGGACACCATAGGTGTTGTTTTGTATTTGGACTTGTCATTGTACTATTTTAACCTTTGTTTTAATCATTCTTGGAATGGTGTCCATCTTTTTATTTCTTCGCTTCCGCATTCGTGCACGTGTAGGGTCTTATTAACTCATTTCGTGTTTCTCTTGTTGTCCTAGAGGAAATGTATGCCTCTAGTGACCTCTTCTTGGTTTATCGCTTCCGCGTTTCGGACTCGATATCGGGTCGGGTTAGGTTCCTTTGGTTAATGCACCGGATCATGGGATTTGGGGCGTTACAATCCACATGAAAAGTTGCATTGCCCCAATCCCGACGACCTTCCCTTAGAACTCTCCTGGCTTCTGCTTGTGAGGGGAGTCGAAAGAGGAGTGAATCTGGCAATGGCAACACACCAACCCCACATTAAAATTTCCAAGCACGTCCAGCCCAATCAGCAATCTGATCTCAGTTACCCACTTCTTTATCAAATTTACCTACCAAACACGAACAAAGCACCTCCATGCATCTTCCTATAGAGGCATCGTCCACCCAAATCGAAGGTCCTCTTAAAGGTTTTGCAACCTTAACCATCCCCCCCCCCCCCCCCCCCCCTTTCTGCAGAAGACAAGGCAGCCTAGCGATCTCGAAATACGATTTCGGACCTATTTCCAAAAAAAGAGGTCACCGGTGTAGAAGTCTTCGGTGCATTTTCGTCTAAGACACCACGTTTACATGTTCTTTTTCCTCTTATAGTTTACGAAACAAATGCCTTGTTTACATCTTCGATTTGGTAAAATCGAAGAGAAAAAGAGAGCTAGATCATAGGGAGAGGAGAGAGGAAGAATCAAAGACCAACAGAGAAGATATCGATGTCAGAGCGAGAGGCAAAAACGAAGAGGGGGGAGAGAGAAAGGTCCTAATCGATTGGAGAACTTTTCAGCTTCCCTATATAAAATTGAAGACATATGGAAGAACTTCATATTACGGTCCCCCATCCTTAACCACGGGGCTCTAGATTTCTGTCTCTACAGAATCTCCTCTTAACACAATAATTTCAGCATTCTCCGCCTGGCAATCCACCCTCCAACTTCTCAAAGCCTCCCCAAGATCTCCCAATCCCTCCATGTGATTATATCCACAATCTTCGAGAACGCTCGGTTTTTCCTCCATTCTAAGTTCCCAAACTCCTCCTTATTCCATCTTTTAATGTCCTCTATCAAACACCATAATTGTCCAACAAGGATGTAACCCAAAGTGCCTATCACATCTTATCCCACCCACCAGGAGCGGACCCTCTCAAAAAAGACTGCTGCTCGAAGCCACATATTCTCAAATCTAAAGGGAGAGCTTCTTTCCCATAATCCCCCTAGTACAGGACCAATGGAATATGATCCGAAGTTGGTCTAGCCAATGCAGCTTGAACTGCATCCATATATTTCTTCTCCCTATCTCTAGAACAAAGGAATTTATCCAAATGAGAAATGCTGAACATCATCCTCGTTGGGGCCATAGACACCCGAGAAAATCCAATGGAAGCCATCATCCTCTACTTCTACAGAGGGCATACTAGAAACCAAGAATCTTCCCATCCACACATCAAGCTTTGAGACCCGACCGAACTTGTATCTCACATCACAATAATTCCAGAGAAAATCCAATGGAAGCCATCATCCTCTACTTCTACAGAGGGCATACTAGAAACCAAGAATCTTCCCATCCACACATCAAGCTTTGAGACCCGACCGAACTTGTATCTCACATCCCCCCCCCCCCCCCCCCCCCCAGGGGAGACCATGGCATCCATAGCAACCCAATCCACAAATCTCCCACCCCAAAGGCTCCTAACAACCTTATCCGATACCTAGGTAAGTTTCATTTCTTGCAAACATACCACATCAACATTACACTTACGAATCGCCAACTTCACCACCTTCCTCTTCTCCTTCCCTCTTCCCCTCTCCCTCGACCACAACCCCTCCCCCCCCCCCCCCCCCCCCCCCCCCCCCCGCCCCGCCCCCCCGGCTCCTATTGTTGACATATGAGATACGGTTCCTCACCTCCCTCTCCCCTTTCTCTGAAGGTGTCCTTCCCTTACCCCCCCACTTGCTGGATGTTGTTATATTTGTAAAACATTCCCACCGCCTGACAATTCTCCCCCTCATAGGTCACTCCAACCAAGTGACAACCCTAGTCCGTCATAGGTCACTCCAACCAGGTTGTCATTTCACATGCTCCGTCACAGAATGGGGATAAAATGATCACTTTTGTTAGTTCTGGGGGTTATTTGTTAGTATAGGGGGTTATGTAATGATTTTGGATAGTATAGAGGGGTTTTATGATTTTAACCCTAT